CTATATATATATATATATATATATATATATTATATATATATATATATATATATATATATATATATATATATATATATATATATATATATATATATATATATATATTCAGCAATATGCAAATTAGGTAAAGGCATTAATTAAGCATGCGAAAGGCTGATTGTTTAGGACAAAATGGATAGATAAAGGGCTTAAACTAAAGCAAATTGTCTGAAATTTTGTACACTAATTAATCCATCCATTAACTCAAAATATGATTAAAGCTTTTGAATTGCGTGCGCAAGCCATTTTCATTTTGTTGGAAAAGACACCCCCTGGTTCACAAAATTTGAGTTCGAGACATTTTTTTCATTATTCAACATTATAAGTACCCAAGGAAGCTATATACATAGAAAACTGGATACTAATAGCTGTTTTGCGGAATTGAGAGCAATTTCAAATCTGTTCAGTGTTTTTTATACACTCTGTATAAATATAAATATATAAATATATATATATATATATATATATATATATATATATATATATATATATATATATATATATATATATATATATATATATATATATATATATATGAAGATAATATGCTATTGATACTTTGTTTTTATTTAGCTTCTGCAACAAGTCATAGTGCAAATGGATATCCCGCGTTGGAAAAAGACAAGATAAAAATAGAATTCTTACTCATTGACCAAAGCCACATTGCCAGAGTGTCATGGAAACCCCCAGCTGGTACAGTATGATTGTTATAAGAATTATAATTTTACAAACGTTATCCAGACGTTGATAATTTTGGATATATCATAAAAACCGCATTTATTAGCATTATTATTTGTTTTCAATTATTGTACATTGTGTAGAACTATAGCTCAATTATAAACAACCTGTTTTTTTGGAAGGCAATAAAACACAACAAGCAAATTGTACAGTACAGTGAACAGTTCGCTTTCATTTGTTGGACCCGCTGATTTGCTGTCTATATATTCGTAAATCGTAACTATTTTTATATTGCTGCTCAAAGGCCGTGGAAGGGCACCCATCAGTAGTGTATCGATCCAACGTCTATGTTATCGAAACGTTATAAGTACAGCACATAAATTTTGCCTCATTGGAAAAAGATACTTTCAGTCCAGAAAAAGACACTTTGAATCCTGACAAAGACACTTTCATTCGAGAAGAAGAGGGCAAATTCCTTCCAGAAAAGGGGCATTTTTTCCATTTTTTTGTTTTCAAAAAAGAAGAGTGGAGGAGGGGGTGCATGCTCTCATGACACTGCGAATTCAATGTTTTTTTGTTACGTTCGCGTACTAGATGTATCACATCTTAAGCTCGCTGATCACATGCATCTTAATATTATGTATCCTGATCGCGCATCGTTCATATTCGTAAAATGCATAGTAATAACGTTCTATTATACTGTATTTCACAGCTAGAGGAGTACCAATAGATGGATTCTTAGTTTCATGGACACGCGCCAGTTTTGGCTTTGTCATAAACTCCACGTTTGTCAGTAATGAGGTATTTATCAGTTTTTTCATGATTATATTCTCCACATTGAATTTTGTTTAAGTAAACAATTGTTTATACGAAATTTCGTCTACTTTTATTTGTTGTTGCATTGCAATAAAATTGCATTGCCCTTCAGGGACGGATTTTCATATTTTCGTTCGGGGGGGGGGGGATAAATATACTTTTCTAGGCCTGCATGGCCGCATCTGAGACCATAACTGAATATTAGTAATTTTACAAATTTATTAGTAAGAATAATTCCCATTGCAGCAGTTTTTAAGCTATATACTTGCAAATTTGAACGTAAAATCCTTGGATCCCTAGTTACAATAATTCAATTACAAGGTGTATATTTTTACAATTCGTTTTAAGGAAAAGGTGGCAAACATTTTTTTGGACGAGGCGTTGGTAATATATATAATTTGTCGGGGCGCAAAAACTTTTTTGGGCGGTGCCTTTTGTGGCTGTTGCCCTCAACTAATTATAACCTAATGATGAATAACTATGTGTTTTGTTGAATACAGACAACAACGCATGATATCAGGCCATCATTGCTGATCTGGAACTACGACGACCAGTTACTTATCATTGTAAGTGTATGTATTTTAAACTATCTCGACAATGGCCAGAAGCCGGTTGTTCAAAGCATGATTAATGCTAATCCTGGGTTAAAATTTAACCCATTGTTTTGGTTTATGTATTTCTGAACGTCTTGTTATCTCAGAACTTTACAAAATGTAGGAACTAAATTTAGGAACTAAAAGGACTTAAAGGTTAGAGCGCTTCTTCTCGTGTTGTTATTCTTTTTTCAGCTACATACACATCTGCCGGCACGGACTCAAACCCATGCATACTCCCATAGAGATTATAAAAGAATAGAGTTGGCATTGCGGTTATAAAACTGACCCAGAGACAATATGAAGCTTCCTAGTGGGGGCAAATAACCGTCTCTGATTGGCTAAAATCTCGTTGCCCGGATGTAAATTGTCTTTCCCGGATGCAAAGCCGCGTTGTTCAGGAGGAGCGGCAAATTACGAAAATAATACAACTTTGAAAAATCAACAAGAAATCGACCAATCACTTACGGTGTCCCCCAATGTTCAATAATAGGTCCCCTTTTATTCTTGGTCTATATCAATGTTTTGCCAAACTGTCTGAACAATGGCTTATTGAGTATGTACGCGGATGACACAAATATTAGCTTCCAAAGCTCTAATCTTTCTGATCTTGAAGAAATTATGAACACCGAGCTGAGTAGTTTAAAGGCCTGGCTCAATGCGAACAGATTAAGCTTAAATTTTACTAAAACTGAATTGATGGTCATTGGCTCTCGACAGAGGTTGATGTACCATGATCGGCATGATGTTAACAATCTTAATATATGCGTAGATAACACTCAAATTAAAAGAGTAATTTGCACGAAATCCTTATGTGTAACAATTGATGAAAATTTAACTTGGAAGAACCATATTGATACTATCTGTAAAAAAGTATCCTCATGAATTGGTGCCCTCAAACGAGTGAGGCGATTTGTAAACAGGGAAACTGCAGTGAAAGCGTGCAGAGGCTTAATTGAGCCTTACCTTAATTACTGCTACCCGGTTTGGGACGGTATCGGCAGCGAGCTGAGCAGTAAGTTACAAAAGTTACAAAACCGTGCTGCTCGTACGATCACCGAAAGCACATATGAAAACTCCTCGAATTCTTTACTGGAGGAGTTAAACTGGCACCAGTTATCTATTAATCGCAAAAAGCTTAAAGCAATTCTTATGTATCAAACTATAAACAAGAGGGTACCTGAATATCTACAAGACATATTTACTTCGCGATCTTGTCCTTACAGATTGAGAAACAATGAAAATACATTATTTGTCCCTAAGCCACATACAGATTATCTAAAGCGCTCACTCAGCTACGATGGAGCTGTTTTATGGAATAGTTTACCAACTGAACTTCGTTCGGCGCAATCTCTTAGTGCTTTTAAACGAGGTCTAGAATGTTGGTTAGCTTAGATTCACACACGGCAATCATGTAAATCAGTACTGTTCTGTCTTTTGTAAATAGCATTTGTATTTTTTTCCTTTTCCTCCTTTTTCTATACTTTATATACATCTATATTATGTAAATTTTTACTGATGATTCTACCGTGTCAAAATAAAGTTTATAATAATAATAATAATAATAATAATAATAATAATAATAATAATAATAATAATAATAATAATAATAATAATAATAATAATAATAATAATAATAATAATAATGAAAACTTTATTGAATTTTTTATGCACTTACAATTGAAAATCTCACTGTTAAAGGTAATTTACAATTGGCTACTTGATACACTATACATTACTACATTTACATAACACATGGTCATAATTATATGATACAAAAAGTAACAGACTAACTAGAAGTTCATTAAATCTGGATTCGACCAATCCTTGTTTCTACAACAGAAAACGTAATATGTCGTTCTTATTGCAATGTTAATGATTTTCCTAATGGTATATTTAACACAGGCCTTATCTGAGTTCAAATGTTCCAACATTTGTATAAAATCTGACGATTCTTTTTCAAAAACACCGAGTGCACTGATTGAGAGGTTAATGAACTTTACCGGCCGGAATTTTTTCTTTTGTTCTACGATCATCTCTTTATATTTTGAGTATTTGCGCTGTATATTATTCCTTAGGTTAGTCTCATATCCAACGGTTAGTTCGAGTACATATAGACAATTGTCTTTGGTCAAAATTAGTAGATCAGGACGAAAGTCATCGCCAGTAATAACAGAGGGATTAGGGAATGACGGTAAATCAGCATAAATGGTCTGAATATGTTCTGATGGGAGGTTATTAGCAATAAAATTTAGGATTGAGTCGTGTCTCCAAGTAAATCGATCAAGATAGGAACTACAGCCAGCAACAACGTGTAACAGAGATTCAGGTTTAAGGCAAAACGAGCACTCCGAGGACGAGGATAGTCCCCATTTTTGAAGGTTTTTACGGGTTGGTAGCGAATTGTTTATGTAGCGAATAGTGAAGTTGAAAATGTTTTTTGGTAGTTTGGATTGACAGGTTGGCCAAATCGAATTTACTTGGGGTAGTGAAAATTTTGAGATGCTGGAGAAGAATGAACCTTGACATTTTAACCGATTTTCCAATTTATCTTCATGAACTTCACGGAATGACTTGATTACTTCTTTTGTCGACGTATACTGATCATATTGGGTGTTAGTATGATTACAGGTCGACTTCCAGAGGTGGGTTATTGATTCATTAGGAGATGACTTCAAAGCACTGCGGATAGTTGTTTGACATTGTATGAATTTTGTTGATGGGGGGATAATGTTCAGACCAAATTTGTTACTGGTTAGGTAAATGTTACTAAGTGATCCAGAAATAGGTACCTCAAGCCATTTACGAATGTATTGTTTGAAAACTGAGTCCAGGTTTTCGGAAATCCACGTTTTTTGAATTCATGCTATAGTGAAATGCCATGAGAGTTTTGAAAGAACATAGCGACTGTAGAGGAGAATCTTGTTTTTCGGATGTAATGGCTTCAGATCTATTTCTTTCATTAGGTCTGTCAATAGTGATACTAATTCCGATTTATGTTCATTATTTGTCATTTCGTAATTAAAGTACCTTCCTAAATAGCAGAATGATAATAATAATAATAATAATAATGATAATAATAATAATAATAATAATAATAATAATAATAATAGTAAAGAAACACTGGACTTTAATACAAACGGCAGAACTGTTTTAAAGTGCTCTTTTTAGATGTTGTAGAGCGGTGTTTTCTTCGTGACGTCGGCACGTCCACATTTTTTTCATTGTCCACGATATACCACAGACATTCGTCGATTTTTCGCCACAAATAAATGTAAAATAGTCAGGACTGTTTGGCTACTTGCAGCCAGAAGGTGGAAAAAATAGATTCACTTGGTTTACATCCGGGTATAACTCAAATTTGCCCATATTAGCAAGCTTTAAATTGTCCCTTTCGTTTGCCTGAACTTTTCCTGCAATGCCAAGAACTCTATTCTTTTATAATCTCTATGCTCAAACTTCGAATCGGCCAGCTTGATATTTTTGGCGGGGGAAAAAGCGGAACACAACGCGATACAGCGGGCAAAATGACGTACTAAATAACGGGACACTGTATACTGGACGGTGGGTGATATGCAGTGTAGAAATATACCACTACCTGAAAATATGAGCAGAACTTCGACGTTTCGAACGAAGTCACCAACTACCCGACCAAGTGCCTTCGCACGAAACGTCGACGTTCTGCTTATATTTTTCGCGCCGTTGTATTTCTCTCACACCTCAATTACCATGCACACTGCCGGACATGTCATTTTTATGTCTTCCAGTTGTCACCCTGACGAAGGCGCAAAGACCCTAACTTTTACACTTTTATGTATAAATGCATTCCACTGCAGTGAGTAATAAAATTAAGTAAACCTTTTCATTCAAAAACTTTATTCCCTGTTCATTTCTCCTGACACCAGACGATTTTATACTCGTGAGGGAAAGAACATACACTCTGAATGGAACCGCTTGCATGCACGTTTTGTTAATCAGGCATGCATGCCATAAAAAGCTAGTCTATGGAATGAAGACGTACTTAATATCAACGTATAGATATATTACTATTTATAATACTTGTCGAATTTCAGATTAATCCATTGCCAAGGGACGCGGGCATATATGATATGATAACCTTCATACCGGATTATACAGGTATATAGCCTATGGTATTTATATAAAGAATCCTCTCCCTGAAAATATTTCCCCAATTAAGATATATAATTGTATAAAAATTTAGATAAAACGAGAAATTTTAACCAACAGAAAGAATGTTTCCAGTATAGGTATATGAACTCCGAAAATGAAATAATGCAATTATAAGTTCATCTTAATAGTGCAATAGTGTATAAAAATGTATGGCAAAATTTATCTAATCTGCATGAGATTGACTGATTTTCAAAATTTGCCTGGGGAGCAGGCCCCCACATCCCCCTAATAGTGTCCTTTTTTGCATATAGGCCTATACGTTTACCTTAGGAGCAGAACCCGTGATGCATGTTATCTATAAATTAGTTTTATGTTATATTCCTAAAAGTATTGTGAAGATTCTCAGTGCACTGAAATTAAGTTTTTCTGTTAAGATATAAGATGACATTCAATTTGACAACTTGATAGTGTTACACAGTTACAGCATCCGAGTGCCAATTTACTTGATTATTCCCACAAAATGTTTTAATGTTCTAGATCTTGCGGTCCCAGAAAGTATGATATTTTCAGTTCCACTCCTGACGATTAGAGTAAAC